GAAATTCATCGGGCAGCGCCAGCGGCAGCGGCGGGGGAATCATGGCACCGTCCCTGCACTCGCGGCGCGGAAATGACCACTTGTGCCCCAGTTTAGCCCCCGCCGCCGGCTCGGAGCCCATTACGGCGTGGCGTGTGCTGCCCCCGCGCTCCCCACCTGGGGAGGGGGCTCATTTGTAGTTAAAAATCTATTGTGACTTGTCAGAAAAATGAATAAATGAGCACATTATTTTTTCATTTTGGAGCTCAGCATCTGTTTGTCTAATCAAGAAAGAGAACTGGGAAAGTCAACCAGGGCTGACGCACACATTTTATTTAACTTTTCCTCTGTCAAAGGAGTTTAAATGTGTAATGAACAGGCCATGGTGATTTGAAATATAATCCCATTACTCTGATGAGATTACCAAGGCTGTGAGAGTTCACAAATCATGCTTAGGGTTTTTAGAGCGAACAACACCCTGTTGAGATTTTTTTTTTCTTTTTTTTTGCATTTAAGCAGAGGTGTGTGGGGAGAATAAAACATGACAGTGCTTAACCCTTTGTGCAGCGGCAGCGCAGGGCTGTGCACGGGGACAGCCCTCCCCGTGCCTCGGCTGCTCGCGGTGGCCCCGGGCCCGGCCGCAGGCGCTGTGGCGGTGCTGGGGAGCAGCACCCAGCGGGGCACGGGGCACCCTCCCGCGAGCCCTGCCCAGCTTTTGTGCCCGCACATCTCCATCCTCGTCTCCGTTCTCGTCCCAGTGTCATACCGGGCAGGCTGCAATGGGATGTGATTTAAGGGGCATTAATTTTAGCAGCGGCGGCAGCACCCAATACCACACGCCGCCACAGCAGCGCATTTCCATGAAATTCATGGGCCCATTACAAACATGTCTCCATAAATAACTCCCCTCATTAATCTCAGGGCTGCACCCAGGGCTCTACGATGGTTTTTGCCTGCTTGTCCCACTGCGGGGTGGGTCCCAGCCCTGCCACGGCTGCAGAAGCCCCCGGGATGCGCCCGGCTCCCGCCAGCCTGAACCCAAAGGAGCCTCTGGCTCGAACTGCTCCTCCCGGGATTCACAGCAAACCCCTGCGGGGCCCTGGAGGAGCTCCGGTCAGTGCTCGCACCCTGGGTGCCCTGCGTGTCCTCTGCTAAAAGGTCGCTCTTTTGTATCCCAGTACTCTGATAACATCAAGGAGGCGGCGAGGTCTCCTCTCTGCACCCTGAGCTTGCTGCTGCAGCAGCAGCTTTGGCCATCCCCACCTGACCACCCGCTCCTGAGCAGCCAAAGCTGCTCGTCGGCTATTTTATTCTTTCCCAAATCTCCTAGACAAATGCTTGGCCGCCCTCAGTGCACAGCGAGTGACCTCAGGGTCTCACCACAGAGGTCACCTATCTCCCCTTGTGGATTTGGGAACCTCTGAGCAGCATTGTTTTTGTGCAAAGCCAAGCAAGATGGGCAGCGAGCGGCCGGCCCTGAGCAGCACCAGCTGCTGCGGGCATCTGGGCTCAGACCAGCCCACAGGTACGAGTTCCCCGGGGGCTGCTGGTACTGCGAGGGGAAACATCACTGGTTGGTGGCACTCGCTCTGTGCGTGTGCTTCCCAGCTCGCACTGGGTCTGTGCTTGTGATTTTTTGCAAGCGTACGCTCTTGCTCCATGAGAAGCAATCGACTGTAAAACTTCAGGTGCACATGCAAGCCAGGTCCCCCTCCAACAGCACAACAGAAAAAATCAGAAAACCTCTGATACCTCCAACAGCCACCAATGCACATCAGTGAGAAGTCATCCTCGTTACGTGAGCCGGCAGCCACCCTCTTCTCCCGAAGCCCAGTAACAATGCACGGAAGGAACAGCTTGCTTTTCTGACCCAGTTGAATGCCCATCTGAATCAATTAAATCTACAACTACCGGGGAAAAACCAGCCCGTGATGGATTTGTGTTCAGCTGCGCACAGATTGCAACCATGAGCTCTGATTTAACTCTTTCAGAAAACACTAAATAGTAGAACTGTCTGTTCCGAGGGAGAGGCTGTTCAGCTCTTGAAAAGCCGGGGATGTTTCCAGAATTTAAGGAAGGTTTCCTCCACACCGTGTATTCAACTGGATCTGATTTTGCAAAGTAAATTCACTTCTTAACTGTGAACGGCTCTTTCGGAGCAAAGAAACTCATTCCAGGCTCCCCACCTTGCCTGCTCCCCATCAAGCCCTCAGAGCATCCTCCAGTAGCAGCATCCCGTCCCTGCGGCCCTGGCACTGCTCCCTGGGGACGCGCTGCGCTGCGTGTCGCGCTCCGTGGCAGGACAGCACTAAAACCAAAGCCAGTGGAAGGTGATTTATGAGATGGTGTAAACGCACATCCGGCAAGTGACTATGCGCTCCCAAATGTTACCACAGTTTAGACAGCAGAGATTTCTTTATTATGTGAATCTTTAGGCTTTACTGAAAGCGAAATGCTGCATGTATTGAATACCTACTTATATAATGTAATAAAATGTAAGTGGGTGGCAACAGCATTATGGCTATGGAAACAAACAGGAGACTTCTGTCGCTTCTGATAACAAAGTAGGCAATCTTTTAGTTCAGTTAAAAAGAATTGAAACTAGGTGGCAAAAGAACATTCACATAACAACTTTAATGTTAAATAGTTCACAAAGTTGGTTAAAGGAGTCATTTACATTGCATTATTTGAAGGGTCTTTCCCCATTGCATCTATGCTGCATTTACTCATATAAAATATTAAAAATTTTAATATCATACTATAAAATATTGTTTCTCTTGCTTTGCAGATATCATGGAAGACTGTACAGTGCAGACTGGCCTCCGCGGTGCAGGCACAGCTCCCCTCCGAGGCAGCACCAACACCGGCTCCGGGAGCGCTAAACCTTAAAAACTGAGAACTTAAATGCAACAGGTAAGTGACACATAGACCTCTCTGCTGTAGTGCTGATTCCTAAACTATGTGTTAAGGCTCAGAAAGTTTTCTCCACACAAAAGCAAGGTAGGGCACTGTAAGCGGTCCCGCCGTGGAGGCGAGGCTGGGCGGCCCTGCGACCCGCAGCGCTGCAGCCCCCGCTGTGGTGAAACGCCTCTCGGAACTGGGGGCGTTTTCTTGATACAAAGCCCACAGCAGCAGCGCAGAGAGCTCCAGCTTCAACGACTTGGAGAGATTTATGAAAGACACCTCTGGTGAACTGAACCAAAAATGCAGCTCTGGTTCCCAGTAATCCCACTCACGTGTTCCCTGATGTATTAAGGATGGACAAGGCCAAAATAGTTACAAATCCCAATACAAAGTAGGTCTTAATTTTTATTTTTAAAGAATAATATTAAGAAAAGGAGAAGGCATTCCTCAGCCCTCAGGTGCGAGCTGTCTCAGGGAGGAAGCGCGGACGCCGGGCGGCCGCGGGCAGCTCCCGCAGGCAGAAGGATGGATGTTCTCCTTTCAGCCGCCAAGACGCTGCCTTGGTTTCAACACACCGTGCTGACTAGAGCAAGTAACTTCCAATAAAACGTATGCAAAGCTGAAAAGCACAGTTAAATAAAAATATTTTTGAACAAAACAAACCGCAACAGACTTGACTGTCTCAACGTTTCTTCACAAATCGGCTCCCCTGCAATGGCTGCTGTTCCCTGGCTCACGGTTGCCTCCTGCACTTCAGCAACAGAAGTGAAACCATCTGGGACTACAGCCTCCCCCCCAAAGAACTGTGCATCATATGGACCTTGAAAAAGATTACATCTGTTTATTAATAGTAAAAATGGATACATTTGTCCTACATTTTGTTTTTAGAAATTTGATCATGTCACAAGCAATACCTGTGTGTACGTGGGTGTATTACAGATGTATATAATTTATTTTAACCAGGCTGTGAAATAATATGTAATCACATCTCTTCTTGTGATTGTACATAATACAGTAATTAAATGATGCCAGTCTACGTCATTCTCTTATTTCTAATCAAAGGAACCTGATGCGTAACAGTCTTCTTTCCGGCTGATATGGCTCTTTATTTTTGTCACAGGGGAGACTTTCCCATCACCAACGAGGGATAATCTTCCAACCGTGAGAGACGGGATAATTCAGACTTCTTTCCCCGGCTGCTCCTGCCTGTTGGCAGCAGGAGCACCGCAGTCCTGGCTCCCACCTGTCTCGGGCGGTGGGGAGCGTCTCCTCCTCCGGCTTCGGCAGACAGGCTCTCCTCCAGGCTAGGCGTTACTGCTGTCCCGATTTCTTCTCCTTCTGGAAGCTAAAGCTTGTTCTCCTGCTCAGTTTTCTTTGTTTCTGAGCAAAATAATCTGCTCTGGCTGTGCTTGCTCGCGACTCTAGAATATAGTTAACCTGCAAGACATGAAACGGTATTTAATTTCGTCAGTGCTTCAGTGGGATGCCTGGGGAGAGCAGGGGCGCTCACAGCGCAACGGGACGAGGCTTTAGCGACACCGTCCCCAGCGAGCCGCCAACAAAAGGAGGGCAGAGTGAGCCCAGCGCTCCCGAGAGCCCCGCTCTACACGGGCCGCCTTCCCTCGGCTCGGCGCAGGGCGGCCACGGCGGCCGCAGGCTCTCTGCATCCCGCTCCCCTCCTCCCACCCAAACCTCGGGCAAACACAGCAAGTCGGGAAGACCCACAGTGATGGTCTAATATAGTAATGGGCTTCAATAAAAGACTTTATCAGCCTCAATAAAAATAATTCTTTCGTTACGATGTTTGCATACTCAGCTAATCTCACAGTTTCCCTGTGTTTTGGCACATTTTACTTGATGAAAGCATTTTTAAATGATATTTAACAAGCCTGCTATTCCCTAAATTTATTATCTCCAGTGCTTTGTGATAATCACATAGATAATTTTAATGGAAGGTTAATGCAAGAATCAAAAAGATAAAAATGCCCTTTGGTCTGCCATTAGCTGGTTAATATGCTGTGGCTTAAAACTTGCACAATTTTATGCACTGTAGAGTGTTTCACTTTCATTGCATATTACAGCTTAAGGCATAAAAATATAGGGAATTTTCATGGTCAATAAAGCCTTGGTCTTTCTCACTTGATCATGTAAAAAGCCTAATTCGAGAAGTCTGATTTCTCTGTGCTGACGGAATTGAAAACAAACTGGTGTCTTACACATGAAACCAAAAAATGTTCTATATAAACAATATAAACAAACTTAAGAAAAAAACTACTGTTCAAGAATATTTTTGTCTTGAATATTCATGTTATTCATAGCAAACCTTTTTTTTTTTTAACCTTCTTCTATGACCAGTCTCAGATGTGTCAAGTGTTCCAGATTACAATAGCTTATATAAGGTAAAGTGGGAACAAAAGATTTGGCCTAACAGGTCATGAAGTAAGTAGAAAACCCCCCGAAAACTTCACTTTCTATGTTATCAATAAAAATAATTTTATCATATGTCAGTTATTAAGCAATCCTCTATATTCCACATAGAAAATAAAAGCAAACATAACAGATGGCTTGCCAAAATTACCGCTTTTTAAATTTTGGCTTGCTGTAAAATATTAGCTTGTGGAAAATTAAGTTTAATCTTCCAAGAGTGTTACAAAAATTTGTTTCAGAAAGTAAGTCAATACGTGTATGCACTGAGACTCAAGAAAAGCAAACAATTCTGACAAAGTATCAGGGTGGGGAAAACAGCCCTTCTGCTCTGCACAGACACCGGCGTCTGGAGACGACGCGGGTGAGGCAGGAGCCGAGCGCTGTCCGGGCAACGCCGCTGCCTCTGCCTGGGCCGCTGCTGGCGCCGTCAGCCCGGCGTCAACCTGTGGCCTCGAACGCGATGCCAGCGCGTGGTTTTACCGGAGCCCTCCTGGAACCTCTGACCAACGTTCACTCCGGCTCCGGACGCCCCCGCGGTGCCGGGACCTTTGCTCAGCCGACCGCCCCGCTGCCGAGCTCCACCAGCTCCTCCGGCTCCACGCACACGGGGCAGCTGCTCCCTCACCGCTGCGCCGTGCCGCTCCGGTGCTGAC